CAACAAATAACATGATTAAATCGAAATCGAGGCGAAGATGATAAATGTTGAAAATTTGACGCAATTTACCATTATAAATTGAGTCCAGCACAATTATCTGATGCTCACACACTTTATCTTCTTTAATTAATCACACCTGTTGATCAAATTCACTTATCATGCAATAAACTTTGTCAATGAGTGTTAGTTTTTAATCGGAAATGGTGTTTTGAAAGCGAGGCTGCGTAACTGTTCGTTGAGCTTCGGATCACTTCGTGGAAATTCCGTTTCTATTTTTAGAAACTAGTTTGTTGTTGCATGAATTATCGTTCTTTAATAACACCCGTAATTTTCGGGGTGTATACTAGGTGGCGCTTCGATCGAAAATTGTATTTCCCCAGGCTGTCGATTTGCCGAACAGAAGCACATCGACAGACTGGAACCCAGGCTACGGAATCCCTTAAGAATGCCCAAAACGACAATATTGAAAACGTTGCAGAAGCGGTTTGATTGCGCCTGTTCATGGACGGTACTCAAAAGTGCAATACTGAAAAGTGCAAGATACTGACCATCCCTAGCTACGACTTAAGCATAAAATATAATAAACAAGATCAACAAGGAAAGTCGGCGTTCAATGAACGCAAAATTCAACATTTAAGCACGGAAATGGTAAAATTTTGAATTTAGAAGCATCCACTGCAAGTAAAAAGAAAGCGTGTGCCCTGTACGAAATCCAGTGTAGCTGACTTTTATATACATCACATCTGAGGCAATTCTTTAATTATTTTTGAAATATATATGTATAAAAGATCAGCATGTAAGGGCGGCATTTAATGAACTCATCCGCAAACACAAGACTATCGGCAAGTAGCCCAGCAAGACACCACACAAGGTAGGGCACTGGACGATAAGACACATTATCGTGACAGAATTTGAATTAAACTTACAATTTTCAAATATTTCTTAGAAAAATCCGTGTGTGCTATTTTCGTTTGTTAATTGGAATTAAAAATGTATAAGCAGTTGCATGTAGGTATACAGGAAAATAACTTTTCTGTGTGTTTATAAACTATATGTCTTTATCTCTGAAACGAACATCAATCAGTCTAGTATGTAACAATTGTCTTGCAATGAAATCGTACATGCACACTGCAGTATCATTAGTCAGAAGTCTAACAGAATCTTTAATCTAATTTGCCAATTAACTTTATCTCTTACACTATTTCGTGACGCTTTTCGTGTGTCACTGAAGAAGGATATTGATTATTGTTTTGCACGTAATATGTTTCGTCTCTGGTGTATTAACAGCAATCTGAAATAAAATGAAGAGTGAATTCATATAAAATGAAATGACATTCTTAACCAAAACTCTTGCGTAGTAATACATGTAATAATTTCAAAATGTCAGAAAGATACGTAACGTTGTTAAATATCAACAATTTGATCAACGGATGTTCCGGCTGATCTGGAATAGTATCTGTTGCCGACAGCTGGAAAGAAGAATTTCCATATTTCATTCTATGATTTTAAACTTAATAATATAAGTCTCATGGGCTATTCTTAAAATTTTGAAACTTTAATGAAATGTTTTCAGGAAAGAGCACAATAAAAGTGTCAACTTAAATTAAGGAGTTTTCAACAAACGTTAGCTTAGAGATTGATATCTTCTAAAAGGGATAAGTATGGGTAAGATTCCTGCGTATTTTACACATAATATAAATGAGAACGCAATGATCGTGTAAAAAGTGTCCTTTAGACCGCAAAGAGATTAGATATACTAAAATAAGCGAAAAAAATAGCTAAAGGAGCATACAAACGTCAAAATTGGAGATTTTGTAGAATCGGGCTGAGCTTAATGCACTGATAAAATAGATAAAAACAGAATCCCTAAAAGTCATTAAACTTTGCCGAAATATCTGAAGTTTGCTATTTGTTAATAAATTTCATTTTTAATTCATAAAATGAATGTTATGAACTTGACTAATTAATATTCCTGATTTTCATAAAATGTTTCAATTTATACTTATAAATAACTGTTTTCATTTATTCTCATTTACAAACTTTAAGTCTTAGCAAAGTAAAAAATCAATACATGTGTTTTAAGAATTATGAAATTCTCTACATTATTTGGCGACATTCAATTTAATGCTTTGCTGTAGAATTTTTAAAAAAACATTATTGAGAAAAATGTTATTTGTTTCGATTAGATTGACTGTAAAGTCTAAATGATCTTAACGTTTGTTTTGTACCTTTATGAGTTTTAGCCTTGACAGGCACTAAACATAATATAAACAAACGTCAAACTTTCAGATAATACTGAGATGGAGACAGCCTCTCTTGAGCTTTTCACAATTCACATTCGCCTGTTAATTATGCTTAACATAACATTTCTGAACCAACTGGCTGCATGGAAATTTATTCTTGGAAAATATCATTTTTAATACACGACTGTACGAGCATTTTTTACAATTTCCAGTAAACCATATCCAGTAAAGAGAAACTAAATATTCACAAGTTAAAACGATTAAATACAGCGGGAAAACCTATAGGTATTATTAAGTTTGGTGCGTTCTGAGTGCCCTACTTGTGTGACTGGATTGTGTCAGGGGTTGCTTTGTTGATCTTTATTCTCAGTTTGTACAACATGATGTTTATAACATATGAATACAATCGGAATGATCGGCTATTATGACAGACGAAAGAAGTTGCAATTGCATGACATGATGTTTTTAACATATGAATACAATACGATGTCATGTAAATTAAAACCTAATATTATGGCATGAGACATCCTTGCATCGTGACTGACGGGTTACCTTTAAGGTTTGACGCATCAGAGTTGCAGCCACCGTTTATCCCAACACGAACCAGCAACAAGAATGAGTGGCAAGGAGCCCAGGCGGACCCCAAACAATAAACTGGACAGGGCACAAGGCAGAGCTCTGATGGCTTATCACTAAATTGATGTTTAATTTGTAACTGATAAGGAATTCAAAGAAACCAAATAATTAATAAATGATTGAATAATAAGCCCACAAAATTAGAGGGCACAGGGGAAGGAGACAGGAGAGCCGAGGAAGGGGGGGGGGGGTAAATGTGTGTACTTCACATTTTATGTAAATGACGAATAGACAGGTCTCTAGTTAGAAACAGGTAAATAAAATTTTTAATATATCACATAACAAGATATATGAGACGATTGAGTTTATGAAAAAGCACTATGTCCACAAAATTGATCACAAATTGATCACAACTCTGTTATAGATATCACAGCTGCCAGTGAACAACCAAGTCTAATGTGTACAGAGAAACGTGCGTCCGTAACATGCAAAATTACAGAGGTTTAAGTATATTCCAATGGATAAATGAATCACGGGATACATCCGGGCATGCCACTATAAACATACTATTACCAAATGTACAATATTGCATTATGAATTGTATCACGCTATTCATTTAGTAACCAATACAATGTTATCATTGATATATTCATTACAACAAGGTAATTACTAAATATCTTTTAAGCTAAACAGCATGCTGAAACTATTAAGGAAATAAAACAAGTATTTTGTACTTGAAGGAAAAAGTTGGAAACAACCAGATAAAAATTGTAACACATTATACATGTAAAGGTTGCGGCTATTTTCAATTCGAATGCATAACGACATCTGTAAAAATGGTAGGATGAGAGATAAACTTTTATAATCTACATAGATTTATATTTCTACAAACGTAAGTAGTACATGTATAATAAATATATGTGACTTGCACAATTTTATAAACTTTAATTTTATTCAGTTTCGCACATTGTTTTGTCGTTTAGGGTACACATGTACTTTTACTTGGGGTCCATATGTAGCTTTTCATGGAAAGACACTGACGTGTCACATTAATAACTGCCAGACGAACACATCTGCCTTGTTTCAAAATTCAAAATTTCACCAGTTCATAATAAATGTTGAATTCCGCTTTTGCAGGTGCTAGGGGTCTCGGACGATAGCTTGTAATTACCACTACCGTCCATGAACACGAGTTTACAATATATTCAATTTTGCTGTGTTGTGCTTTCTTGTTCTCTATTCTTAAGTTTATTATGAAAGTTAAACTCAACTATAAAAGATTTTTGCACCGGTGATATGGTTATTTGCATATATAACACGGGTCGCGACGCCTCACATAACTATACATTAAGAATCAATATTGTGCACAGATATATAACAATGGTAGGATACTACGTCATCGCGCACCTGCTGAATGCTCCCACTTGGACCATTTTTTCGTCGATTCGAAGGTAAAATACAATTTTATTATAAGAAAACGTATGAGTATTAAAAAATCATGTAGCGCACCAAAGAATGGCTATAGTACTTGAGATAATTGTAAAAAAAGTTTCTAGATTTATTGCCTGGTTTAGGCCTGAAAACGGGATAAGTGTTTTTTCTCTGAATGCTCCCACTCGGACTTTTCCCACAACCTTTAAGATATCAGGTTGAAAACCTTCTTAAAATCATTTTTAACGTACAGGAGCATAAACCGAGTCATGTTTACATTTTTCTAGATTGGTTGTAAATATTTCTATTCAAAAATCAGTTTTTCTTATTTACTTTTATAAAAATGTAAAATGCTCCCACTCGGACTCGATTTCAGAAATGCTCCCACTCGGACCCAAATATATATAAATTTTCAAAGCACAATTCTGTGATAAACTTTTTATCTTTTGTTTCAATATATTTATATATTTCAAGCTCATATATTCATTTAGTCTGTTAGAATTAAATGAAACATTTTTTGTGGAAAATTAGATAACTAATTTTTAAATATCTATAGTTGTGACATATTGTTTCGTTAACAATCTTATAGGTAAATCATCATGAAGGATCAATATGAAGGATCAATGATCGACCTAAAATTATAAACAAACTAGGTTCTGTTGAAAGCAATTCATCGTCAAATTGAATCGTCAAAATTATAAACAAACTGATTATATATTTTAAGAATCAATTAACGTTCTTGTTTTGCAGATATTTAGTTATGTTTGTTTGCGACCAGTGCGGAAAAAGATACAAAACACCTGGCGGTGTAAGGAAGCACGTTGCAGGTCACCTGGAACAGCCACTTACACTTGTGGAGAATGTGGAAGGTTATTTCATTGCCGGAAAGACCATGAACAACATATGCTGCGCCATGGCGAAGCAAAAACCTTTGTTTGTCAAACATGTGGTACGTCATAATTCTTATTATCTATTTAAAAGTTTTATTTTGCTTAAGAAATTAGTATTTGTATACATATGTATTATAGTCTCTCTTTATTCGTAGAAAACGCTAAATATGAATAAAACAATATTCTTTAGCATTTAATAATTAAAATTCTTCCACACAAAAACAACAAACGCGCACTTTTTAACATGGATTTTAAAAATTACAATATTGGTTTGTTTATTCAGGAAAAATCGTTCAAAACCAAGAATGACTTGGATAGCCACAGGAGGCGGGAACGTACTGGGCAGACCCATGAATGCGATGTTTGTGGGAAACGATTCACATCTTCACGTGATCTAGAGGAGCATTCACGGAAACACAGTGGTGACTTCCCTGAAATATGTAGTGTATGTAGCAAGAGATACCGCCATAGGGCTAGTCTAAGGAGACATTTGAAAACACATTCAAATTAATAAGCACGTTGTTATTTTATGATGATGTCTCCAAGCGATACTGTTGAAAGGGGTATATTGAAATGTCGTTGTCCGTCCGTATCATGCATATTTTCTCTTTTCTTTAAAATTGTCAGGAGTTCTCACGTGTATTTGAATTAGGGAATGAAAATAATGACCAACCATTTTTTGTGCCCCCACTTTAAAGTCATGAAACTTTACAGGAATGTTGATCAGCATGTGTAGTTGTGCACCTGGGTATTTGCGTCTGGATATTTTTAGTATTTTCAGAGTTATTGCCCTTGACTTAGTAAAATTTTGCAATTTTCAACTTGTGTCGCATGTAACTCAAAAAGTATTTGACCTAGGTTCATGAAACTTTACAGGAATGTTGATCAGCATGTGTAGTTGTGCACCTGGGTATTTTCGTCTTGATATTTTTAGTATTTTCAGAGTTATTGCCCTTGACTTAGTAAATTTTGCAATTTTCAACTTGTGTCGCATGTAACTCAAAAAGTATTTGACCTAGAGTCATGAAACTTTACAGGAATGTTGATCAGCATGTGTTGTTGTGCACCTGGGTATTTTTTGTCTTGATATTTTTAGTATTTTCAGAGTTATTGCACTTGACTTAGTAAATTTTGCAATTTTCAACTTGTGTCGCATGTAATTCAAAAAAGTATTTGACCTAGAGTCATGAAACTTTACAGGAATGTTGATCAGCATGTACATTTGTGCACCAGGTATCTTCGTTTTGATTTATTTAGTATTTTTAGAGTTATTGCCCTTGACTTAGAATTTTTTTTTGCAATTTTCAACTTGTGTCGCAAGTTACTCAAAAAGGATTTGACATAGAGTCATTAAACCTTATGGGCAGGTTGCTCAGCATATTTAGATTTGCACCTGGGGTTTCGCTTGTGGATTTATCCAGTATTTGTAGAGTTATTTCCCTTGACTTAGTAAAAGGATTGACAGAACAGTGGCGCGGTGGGGGCACCCGTGTCCTATGGACACATTTCTAGTTATTGATGTTTTTTCTTGCTTTATTGAACTAATGTCCTATACTCGTATAACTAGAAAACAGTTATTTTATAAAGTCGAAATATAAGCACATGTTACCTCCTTTTTAATGAGTTACACACAAATAGTTTTCATAAAAATGTGAGCACAAGTATAATATTATGAATAACTGTAATGATATACATAAAGTTACCATCACATGAAATGTATTGTACATCGGGAGATTTGTTTGTTCTACCAAATTATTGGATAACTGTGATTTTAACCGATTTTTATGATTCTGTCTATTATCCATCGCCGAAAAGTCGGGGGATTTATTAAGGAGTATTTCTTCGTCCGTTCTTAAGTACAAGTAGCAGAGCATAAAAACCAGAAGTGTTCACGTAATGTTTTTTGTTGTTTTTTATGAGAGACGTAATGATTGTCTATAATGTTTGCATAATTTTTGTCTAGGCTATATTTTAAAACGTTTCATTACATTTCAAGGTAAATGGCTGCATAACTCGGAATTTATATGGGTTACTTCCCCTTTGTAATGTGTTTCCTCTTTAACGGCGGGGGATTTTACTGTCTGTGACAGCTTCTGGTATAATTGTTATTATTTTACTGTGATTTGATTACCAAGATATGGTAAATACTGTGATAAACAAATAACTGTGATTATTGTTTTCTGATTAATTTTATTTTGTTATTTAAAGTAATAAAACGTACAGGATATGGTAAAAGTTGTGATAAAAATAACTGTGATTATTGTTTTTTCGATTTATTTTCTTTTGTTATTTTAAGTAATAAAAATCGAAAAACATACCAAGATATGGTAAAAGTGTTGATACAAATCACTGTGATTATTGTTTTCATATTTTTTATAATGTTTTATGTGCCATGGAATGGCAGCAAATTGATTTTTATGATAAAATATGTACATGATATTCTTAAATAAACTTTTCCAATCAATTGATAGATGTTGACTACTTCATGTTCTTAAATTTACAATTTCGATGTTTTAACAAACTCATATCACAAATCAACAAACAAGTAAATCATTGCGTTTTAAATTATGAAGAAATACTTAATTCGGCAAATGTTGTCCATGCAGTATTTTAAAGCAACAAATACAATTTTCCGTGTATGTATCTCTTTATTAATTATGACATTCATGAGATCCTATATTCCTAGTTTTTTTGTTGGTAATAATTTGGAATCGTCCCTTCGGGCCGCGATACCAACGCACGCCAAGTGAACCTTTTTGAAGAGCATTCCTGTTGGTAGAAACTGTGCCATGGCGCCTTGTCCCGGCCCGACGGCGTCGTTCTTCCGAATCAAAGAAGTGATCTCTGTAATAATAAAGAAAGAGTTAATGCCGCGATACATATTAAGTATAGTCAAAAAATGCATGCATCGCAAACGTGTTTTAATGATCTACGATGACGTAGCACGAGAATAATTACTCTGCCATCGAAATCTATTATTCTGTTTTTGTTAAAAGTGATAAATATTATTTCTATTCTAAATATATGCATAACGTATCGTTGAATGTGAAAATACTTAATATTCAAACGAAATACTTTAATTGCAAGCACAAAAATCTATTGTATTATGTCTTGCCTTTGTGTCATTAATATACGCCATCAAGTTCTCAACTTTTTCGTTTTATTGAAACGTAACACGTGAAAGCATGGTTTTTCATATTATAACGATGATTTTACAATAAAAAAAATCAAACGTGTGAGTTATTGACATGAGTAAATACATTAAAAAAACCTAAACAAATTAAGTAAATGAGGAAACAAAATTTTGGTTACATAGTAGACATAACACAAAGAATAATTAATAAGTATCATGTCCTTGAAAACCAGGCAGAAGAATATGAATTTATAAGCAAATATTTCATCATTTCATATTATTATTGACTAACTTTAGTTTAATGTGACGGATATGAAACCTGTCGCTGTCCAAAGACTCTGTAGTGTTATCATTCAATGGCAGGTCCTCCAAATTCATATCACTTGACACCGGATCGTAAGCCTTCACTTTCGTCGACGTCCCGGTACACAAAAGGTTCTGAAATATGATGAAAATCTAAATATATTACAAAAATCTTCACGATTTTTCTGGTGCTCAATACATTGTACAAAGGTGGTATATTGCGCTGGTAAAAAGTAAGATATCAATGATATTCAATACATAAAATCTTATATCAATGTTTTTCATACCTTGATGTGTCAAGTCGGGCTTGTAACTGTTCTGTAGTTTTCCCAATATACTTGGAGAATTCGTCACATGATAATTACTCCGTGGCCAGCTCGATCTTGGTGAGTCATCTCAGAGAAGAAGGTTTCTCCCATCATTGAACTAAATGCTCGACTGTTATATGTTCCACTCTTACACAACGAATAAAGAAGAAGTTTAGCGTCTATATTTGCCAACAATGCTTCAAATAATTGTGTCGGCCAGCCTTTTACATACTGTCCGGGAGGTGGAAATTCTCCAAAATTAATGAGACCGAGAAGTCTTCGACGAAGCTTAAACCTCATTGACATTCTCTCTCTGTTGCGGAAATCCCAGCTTCATCTTCAGCACGCCACCAGTCTAGGATATCGGCACATAATGAGGCAGCACGAAAATCACCATTTTCTTGCATTGCGTTTTGAACAGCTTGGCTAAAGTGAGTATTTGCCATACTCATCGACATCGGATCAACTATTTCTTCCACCATAGCTGGCGTCAACAATGACTTGCCTTGCCGAGCAACTTTTAACCATGGCTCATTTGTAAAACCTTCAATGCCACCTTTACAGGTTTTTCGTCTGGTTCTTGTAAGAAGGTGTGTGGAGTCGATTGATCTCACCTCCAGTTGATGACGTGTTAAACTATATTCTGGTACGTAGAAAAAGAAATCTGGTTTTTTTCAAAACCAGTGACATCAATGCCGTCTGTAGGTGAGTTCTTCTGCCATTGTTCTAAGCGATCTGGCCATATGTACTCGGCAAATGATATGTTAAGGACATTTTTTTGGGACTGATTTCAACGCCGATGCGGCAAGGATAGAAAGCGGTTTCACGTCCTTTGGTTTATTTCGTGAGGCTTTGATATGCGTATTTTCTTTTATTTCACCATTTAGACTAAGGTGTTTTGTGAGTTCAGATAATTTGACAGCTTTTGTCGCATACTCCTTAATGATAATGTTTTTACACTGCTTCAGATATCGAACAACAACTCGTAAATCTACATCCCGTGCAATTTTTTAAAGTGTTGTCACATGACAACATTTTCTGAACAGTTTCAGCGTTTTCCGAGTCCCATTTTTTTGTTTTGTTGGCATTCTTGTCCGTTTGAAGCATTCCTAGAATCCGGTCGTAATCCTGTCCATGTAAATTTATCCTATCAGTCTCTTCATTGTTTGTATTTTCAGATATTTCCGTTTGTTCCTTGCAGAGGTTTTCAATCATTTCAAACGCATGTTTCTTCGGTGTTTTTCATTGTCATTTAAATCGTCTACTTGATCAATAACATCTATCAATGCATTGGCCCAAATTTCTTCATCTGTGTTGCAATTTACGATTTCTTCAACTACAAAATGGTCATAAGTGCACGACAACAATTCTGCATTGTTTCCACCGGCTTCAACAACCTCTGTTGGTAGAACGTCTAGTAAAGAAGTGTCTTCTTCTAAAATCTCTTTGTCGTTTGTATTTGTCCTTTTTGGTTTCTTTGTCCATCCTTTTGTTGGTGTCTTTGGTAACCTTGGAAGTGCGCTGACGACTTCTAAAGAACCATTCACTTTGTGCCATTGTGGTTTGATTTTAATACTTTTAAGTTCTTTTTCAATTGATGACTTTGACATCTTTTGCACCTCAACCCAGACGTCTTTCTGCAATTGAAGAACAGTTAGAGGTTTTCCAGTGCATGTCCTTACACCAATGTTATGCCATTGTCCGTCAAAACTACATGCTGGTACATGAATACCTACTGATTTACATTCATCCAATACTTTTTCCATAATTTTCCGAACTGTTTCTGTAGTTAAACTATAACCTTTAGGAAACCAGCAAACCGGGGACCAACGGACTTTTTCCACAGCCCAAGCACGATCTAAATCGCAGCACAGAAAGACCATAGCTTCTGTAGCCTTTTGTCGTAAAATTTCAAAGGATTCGTTTGATTCCAGCTCTAAGTTTTGTAAGAGATCTTTTGTATCGGCAACAGTATGTCTCTGCTGACTACATGCTTTCTCCTGTAGGTTTTGATTGATCAAGCAGTTCTCACTAGCTACGATCGATGGATATTCTCCAATCATTTGTATAGAAGCTATTTTCTTTTTGATGTCATTTTTTAGCACTTTTGCTGCTTCTTTTATCTTTGTCGGTCTTTTTCTTTCGGTTACATATATATCTTTTGCAATTTCAATGGCCCTTTCAAATATTGCAGTATCTTTCTCTATTTTGAAAACTGATGTAATTTCCTGAGTCCAACAAACATAGTACAGAAACTCTACCCCTAGAGCTTCGATTTCGGAGAGACATTGTAGGTAGTATCGAACAGGGAAACTGGAATGGACCTTACCGACAGGACATTTAATTTCTACACCCGCAATTATTTCTTTTGTTTCCGAAATATATAAGCTTCCGTCAGGAGAAACAACCATAATCATTGTATCTTTATCTTTTATACAAACACAACCTTCTTCATGAAACTCTAGTGTTGGCGCAATGACAGGAAGTATTCGTCCAACAAGTGTTGCTACTCCATTAATTTCATTATTAGTTCCATGTTCCATTGCACGTTTCTGCTCAATTGATGGTTCAGGCTCAGGAATTCCACACACGACTTTATCAAAATGTTGTCTTTGCCTTTTCAAACCGTCAAGACCAATACTTTGGTAAATTGTACTGCCTGTTATAAAAGCTGTATTTCGAATTTCATGCCATCTCTGTGACCTTTGCTTTATCTTCCTAGTATCTTCACTTTGATTTGTTTGTGTGTGATCCTCAACAAGAGGTACAAATTTATCATGCAACTCTAAACATACAGATGAAGACGTCACGTAAAACACATCACTTTCTTGCAAATAAACAAGGACCTGGCGAATATGGCCCAATATGTCTCTTGTCAACTCTAAAAATTTATCAATGTCATGTAAAAACGCATCTATGATACTTATGACATACACAAATTTACTTTGACGCCAATCTTTCCCCCCTCTTTCGACGAATTGTGATCTAGCGTATTCTTTCTTGTTTCGTACTTCCTGCACTGTCACTACGTCCAAAGAGACGATCGTATATGATGTCTTTAAGAAGCATATCAATTTTAACTTTACATCTTCTGGTAAACATCGAATATCTACGTCCTCTTCATTTGACGAAATTCTCTGTATTTCATCTTCACATGATTGCATCCTTGACTTCATATCAGTAACCCGTGTACTCAATGAAGGTCCATCTTCATAGCCTAGTAAATCAATGTCCCCAGAATCTTTGCCGAGTCCTTGTTTTAGCTTTTTTCCATCAAAGGTTAAACATAGTGAACTGTTTTTCCATGATGACGCCATAAATTCCATCACATCTTTAAATATTCCTGGTTTTCTCCCACCTTGAATAATTTCATCATAAGGACTGAAAGCTCGAAGATTTCTTACTGCCGGCACTATAAAGTTGATGTTGGATTTCTCTGGTTCACACTTTCCCCTCGTGGCAAGCCCTTCGATTATTTGTGATTCGTTCTTAAAGCCAGACATATAGTTTAAGAACCCGACTCCAAACAACTTCCAACCCAGCTTCCAAAGGTTTTTGTTTCGTTGTTATAGCGCATTGATGAAGCTGTTTCATGTTTATACCATTGAATAACGTCTGTCCACAATAGAAAAGCAATGTTGTCTGGCTTTTGTACTCCAGAATTCAGCTGTCTGAAGTAATCTAGGAAGACATTACCCAAACCAACAGATGCTAGGCATTCCAGGACTGAAGGCATCAGCTTGATCATTTCTTCTATGTCGCCTGTGAAAAAAAGTAAAATAAATATCATATATATGTTGTAAAAGAATCATGTGAGAACAAAACAAACACACAATTTGTATTTAACAGTCATAAATAACATATTTACAATTCTAATTTAAAAGCAATTTAATTTAAGTCGATCGAAAATTCTTTTATAATTTTCAATTACTTAAACTTATTTTAATAGCCATTAAGCAATCTACATTATTTTTTTATAAATTAGTTTCCTTGTACCTTTGCATACGTTGGGCTCAACAGACTCATCAGATAATCCATGTTCATAACCATAATCATTTATATTACCATGCATCTCATTCTCCAACGTTAAGCTTGCGTCAGGTGATGCTGTAAGTATATTATATGTTTGAATGTTTTGTAGGTATTATACATTGGTTACGGCTGAAATAATGTTGATTCAGTTGAAATTACATTCATTTATTCTAAGTGACAATCATTTTTGACGTTCGTAAATCTTCACTTATTCTTAATAAAGTTATGACGCTACAGGAACATGTGTTACATTGCCGACAAACGGTAAAATATCTATTTGACTGGCAAAAGTCAAACAGTCTACTTATATCGCAGTGTGCTTCTCCAGCAGAAGTAAAAACTGTGACATTTTTTAATAATAAGGTATGTTGAAAGATCTTGTATGTTGTAATTAAGGATGTAACAACACTTAAGTAAAATATTATATATGTATATAATAATTCTTCTAAAACTATTTCCAAACATCAAAACATTTGTTAATTATGTACTGCAAATGTTCAAACGCATTATAAATAATCATTAAAATATACGCATCATTTCTTGTTTAGACTTTATCGAAAATAAATTTCTAATTACCTCCTTTTTTACATGAACTGTAATTACAGTGATATCTTTACAATAATGCTTTTTGGAACTTACAATGTTGATAAATCTTCATTTGAGCATCATATTTATGATATAAAACCATAAAAATATTGAGTCACAGGAACTTTTGATGAAAAATGCTAAATAATGATTAGGTTTGTAACAAAGTATAACATAATAAAATACAATGATATTAACATGATTGAAGGATACTTACAGCTTTTAAATATTAGCATTTCCGATGGTATCTGCGGATCAAATGGCGTATCTTCTTCAGTACATTGATGATGACCTAAAGAAAGAAAGACATCAGTAGTGTTATTTATAATATAATACAATATATTTATTTAGCCAATTTCAACAATAGTCAAGAAATATAATCGGAATATTTGCATTTATTGCACATGTCTTAAATGTAGTTTATAGATTGATGACATTTTCATCGTTGTTTGTATATGACTTGGAAATGCTGAGAACAAACCAGAAGTACCTTTTAAAAGAACATGTATGTGCAATAAATCAATAAAGCTGGGGCTTATTTGAGCTTTCAGCAAATTCGTATGTTTATAAGAATGATATAAGGCTTTCGGGAGGTTGCTTTTGGCCGGGTTAAACAGCATGATATGGGAGATCATAAATTACCAATAACTGTATCTTTCCCAAACCGAAACTAAAATTACTTACCAAAATCTAATTTCCTGAACTTTTTATTTCGTGGAGGTTTTGATGGTGTAAATGATTTAATTCTTGGTGATTTCAGTGACGTTTGTTGATACTTTCTTTTCTTGAATGATATTGTTGATTGTTTTATTGGTATTCTACAGTTGCTGTCTTTATTTAAACCAAGTGAACGTCTATAAGATTTTTCTGTTTTAAAGCTTTTCTTCCTACACAAATTTAAAACTGACTTTTTCTTTCTCATCTGAAAGAAAAACAGAAGATTATTTTCAAAAGTACATTTTAAAAATAAAATATTCATGCTTTAAATAGTTGACTATAACCGTTTTGTGTCAAGTACATAGTACTAAGAGTATCTTCCATGTGTTTCGTTTAAATATGTAGCCAGCAATTTTTCTGAGTCCGAGTGGGAGCATTTCTGAAATCGAGTCCGATTGGGAGCATTTTACATTTTTATAAAAATAAATAAGAAAAACTGATTTTTGAATAGAAATATTTACAACCAATCTAGAAAAATGTGTAAACATGACTCGGTTTATGCTCCTGTACGTTAAAAATGATTTTAAGAACGTTTTCAACCTGATATCTTAAAGGTTGTGGGAAAAGTCCGAGTGGGAGCATTCAGAAAAAAACACTTATCCCGTTTTCAGGCCTAAACCAGGCAATAAATCTATAAACATTTTTTACAATTATCTCAAATACTATAGCCATTCTTTGGTGCGCTACATGATTTTTTAATACTCATACGTTTTCTTATAATAAAATTGTATTTTACCTTCGAATCGACGAAAAAATGGTCCAAGTGGGAGCATTCAGCAGGTGCGCGATGACGTAGTATCCTACCATTGCATAAATCGCTGGTAAAAATGTACTAATTTAAACTATTAATTAAATGCATGTCCGTGAAGTACGCGGGCTAACGGGCTAGCAGTCTAGCGGGCTAACAGTATGAACTGAGCGGGCTAGCAGTCTAGCGGGCTAACAGTGTGAATTGGCCGGGCAAGCAGTCTAGCGGGCTAACAGTGTGAACTGGGCGGGCTAGCAGTATAGCGGGCTAACAGTGTGAACTGGGCGGGCTGGCGGGCCAGCGGGCTAAAATCTAAAACTTTAATTATTGAACATAAAAATGTTATGATACAGTACCTGGCAGTGTGAAGTGGGCGGGCTAACAGTCTAGCGGGCTAGCAGTGTGAACTGGGCGGGCTGGCGGGCCAGCAGGCTAAAATCTAAAACTTTATTGATTCAACATGAAAACGTTATGATACATTGCCTGGCAGTGTGAAGTGGGCGGGCTAACAGTGTAGCGGGCTAGCAGTGTGAACTTGGCGGGCTGGCGGGCCAGCGGGCTAAAATCTAAAACTTTATTGATTGAACATTAAAACCTCATGATACATTTCCTAGCAGTGTGAATTGGACGGGCTGACAGTGTAGCGGGCTAGCAGTGTGAACTGGGCAGGCTGGCGGGCCAACGGGCTAAAATCTAAAACTTTATTGATTCAACATAAACATGTTATGATACATTACCTGGCAGTGTGAAGTGGGCGGGCTAACAGTGTAGCGGGCTAGCAGTGTGAACTGGGCGGGCTGGCGGGCCAGCGGGCTAAAATCTAAAACTTTATTGATTGAACATAAAAATGTTATGATACATTACCTGGCAGTGTGAAGTGGGCGGGCTAACAGTGTAGCGGGTTAGCAGTGTGAACTGGGCGGGCTGGCGGGCCAGCGGGCTAAAATCTAAAACTTTATTGATTGAACATGAAAACGTTATGATACATTACCTGGCAGTGTGAAGTGGGCGGGCTAGCAGTGTAGCGGGCTAGCAGTGTGAACTTGGCGGGCTGGCGGGCCAGCGGGCTAAAATCTAAAACTTTATTGATTGAACATTAAAAACCTCATGAAACATTTCCTAGCAGTGTGAATTGGACGGGCTGACAGTGTAGCGGGCTAGCAGTGTGAACTTGGCGGGCTGGCGGGCCAACGGGCTAAAATCTAAAACTTTATTGATTGATCATAAACACGTTATGATACATTACCTGGCAGTGTGAAGTGAGCGGGCTAACAGTGTAGCGGGTTAGCAGTGTGAACTAGGCGGGCTGGCGGGCCAGCGGGCTAAAATCTAAAACTTTATTTGTTGAACATAAAAACGTTATGATACATTACCTGGCAGTGTGAAGTGGGCGGGCTAACAGTGCAGCGGGATAGCAGTGTGAACTGGGCGGGCTGGCGGGCTGGCGGGCCAGCGGGCTAAAATCTAAAACTTTATTGATTCAACATTAAAACCTCATGATACATTTCCTAGCAGTGTGAATTGGACGGGCTGACAGTGTAGCGGGCTAGCAGTGTGAACTGGGCGGGCTGGCGGGCCAGCGGGCTAAAATCTAAAACTTTATTGATTCAACATTAAAACCTCATGATACATTACCTGGCAGTGTGAAGTGGGCGGGCTAACAGTGTAGCGGGCTAGCATAGTGAACTGGGCGGGCTGGCGGGCCAGCGGGCTAAAATCTAAAACTTTATTGATTCAACATTAAAACCTCATGATACATTTCCTAGCAGTGTGAATTGGACGGGCTGACAGTGTAGCGGGCTAGCAGTGTGAACTGGGCGGGCTGGCGGGCCAGCGGGCTAAAATCTAAAACTTTATTGATTGAACATAAAAACGTTATGATACATTACCTGGCAGGGTGAAGTGGGCGGGCTAACAGTGCACCGGGCTAGAAGTGTGAACTGGGCGGGCTGGCGGGCCAGCGGGCTAAATATAAAACTTTATTGATTCAACATTAAAACCTCTTGATACATTTCCTAGCAGTGTGAATTGGACGGGCTGACAGTGTAGCGGGCTAGCAGTGTGAACTGGGCGGGCTGGCGGGCCAGCGGGCTAAAATCTAAAACTTTATTGATTCAACATTAAAACCTCATGATACATTTCCTAGCAGTGTGAATTGGACGGGCTGACAGTGTAGCGGGCTAGCAGTGTGAACTGGGCGGGCTGGCGGGCCAACGGGCTAAAATCTAAAACTTTATTGATTGAACATAAAAATGTTATGATACATTACCTGGCAGTGTGAAGTGGGCGGGCTAACAGTGTAGCGGGCTAGCAGTGTGAACTGGGCGGGCTGGCGGGCCAGCGGGCTAAAATCTAAAACTTTATTGATTCAACATTAAAACCTCATGATACATTACCTGGCAGTGTGAAGTGGGCGGGCTAACAGTGTAGCGGGCTAGCAGTGTGAACTGGGCGGGCTGGCGGGCCAGCGGGCTAAAATCTAAAACTTTATTGATTCAACATTAAAACCTCATGATACATTACCTGGCAGTGTGAAGTGGGCGGGCTAACAGTGTAAAGGGCTAGCAGTGTGAACTGGGCGGGCTGGCGGGCCAACGGGCTAAAATCTAAAACTTTATTGATTGAACATAAAAACGTTATGATACATTACCTGGCAGTGTGAAGTGGGCGGGCTAACAGTGTAGCGGGCTAGCAGTGTGAACTGGGCGGGCTGGCGGGCAAGCGGGCTAAAATCTAAAACTTTATTGATTCAACATTAAAACCTCATGAAACATTTCCTAGCAGTGTGAATTGGACGGGCTGACAGTGTAGCGGGCTAGCAGTGTGAACTGGGCGGGCTGGCGGGCCAGCGGGCTTAAATCTAAAACTTTATTGATTCAACATTAAAACCTCATGATACATTTCCTAGCAGTGTGAATTGGACGGGCTAACAGTGTGGCGGGCTAGCAGTGTGAACTGGGCGGGCTGGCGGGCCAGCGGGCTAAACTTTAAAACTTAATTGAATCAACATAAAAACCTTACTATACATTTCCTAGCTGTATAAGCTCGGTGAGCTAACAGTGTAATGTGCTAGCAGTCTAGTGGTCTAAATTCCATACTTAATTATTTTAACACTAAAGCGTTATGATGGATTTGTTAGCAGTGTGAACTCGGCGGGCTAACAATGATTGTTTCATATAGTATACACGATCCTTGAGAGTACACTAAATGGTTTTAAATCCGTATTGATATTTAAGTGATGCATGGTATACAGAAAAAACGATCTTAACTGAAACAGAAAAAAAAAAACACTGCAACATAAGATTTTAGTAGTAGGGCAGTCAAATGTAGAACCTCATGTAGTGAAGCAGAAGATGCACCAGAGGTACATACATAGGTGTTTACTTCGTGCAATGACAGAAGCTTGTCCATAAACATAAGGACATCTAGGAATCTGGCGATTTATTTAGGAGCGGATCTGTGGTCTGGTGGTTATATACATACATTTGTATATATAATCAAGGGGTTTGAGTTCGACCCCCGCTCCTCCCTAACATTACCAACAGTCTTTCGGATGGGACTTTAAAGCGAGGTCCCGTGTATCGGTGCATTACACCTGACACATAAAAGATCCAGGTATGCTTCTGAAATGGGCCATCTTCTGTACTTTCTGCACTATATTACGAATGTCAAATTGTGAAAAACCACAAAGCGACGGCATACTTATACCGACAGATGTACCATCAGAGTTTCCTCACTATGTCTTATTGCAGCTCTGAGTTCGAGGCTACCATAGTGATTACATGTATTTTCATGTAAGGACGTTAACCAACTAGCTTGCGGAATGTGGGTGGTTATACCAAGAACTGGTGTCCGCCTGAGCCTGAAAGTTGTCCGAAATGGCACCTGGGGTCTGAATCGTACAAAATGGAGAAGAGGTTAACAATCCGTCCAGATGATCAAAAATGATGTTTGCATTTTTGGAATGAGTTGCATTTTGTAAAGGAAATCCCACAATTTTAGGATCTTATCCTCAACCATTAGGCCTACTGATTTACGGCAGATTATATCCTAGTGATATAGATTCAGAAATTGCGGAAAATGCCGCAAAACTGGGAATCAATGACAGCAGTATGTTGATTGAGATATTTCATTGTCGGTATATTTGTCACATTTTTATTTCATAATTATGTTCGGATGAACCAACAACTATCATTTCACTACTGTCCATGAACAAAACTAAAACAAAATTTTGATATGTGGTGTTGCCATGACAACGAGAAGTTATCTAGAGTTCTCTCTATTTCTTTGTCCGTTCAAAGCAGAAAATTGGATTATGTTATTACTTTTAAACAGATTGAATATATATCACCAGTCTATGACTATTCGGTTTATATAGTACATTTGTTAATTTACAATATCAGGAGGTGAGCTGTGGTGGGTATGGAAACCAAAGGGTGTATCCACACTCGACGTGTTTTGCCAGTGCATGTTAGGCACCGGAGACCGTGGGCGATACTAAACTGCTGACGAATTAGCTGACGATATAGAATGGAATGTATAGGAAACTGCTGACAAGGATTATCGAAAACTGCTGACCAGTTAGATAAAGAAGGGAAAACAATGAAGGTGTCAAATTGCCGTTGGTGATATTATAGGCGAGGTCGAGAAATACTTGATAAGATGTTTTTCAAGATGACAATATTACAAATGATAAATATTTATTATAAAAATTTCAATTGATATATTTCTCAATTTCTGTTGATATAATATTTTATTTTAGTACCTTAATGAATTTTCTTCTATGTGTTATATATTGGTTAAAATTTTAAAAATGTAGTCAAAATATGATGTATGAAAAATCATAATTTTTTTCAAGTATGTATAAAGCTATGCATCATAGGTTAAAATATATACATGTACATATACGTAATGTACATTTTAACAACATATAATTATTATGTCGTATCACGGATTTATATATATATATATATATAAATCCGTGGTCGTATTTAGTACAAATATGAAATAAAGTGATTTCTGTCTGTCTTATTTGTTGTTCGCATAATTGTATAAGTAATATTGAAGA